CCACATCATTTGTGGGTTGCTACACAAGAGACTAGGGCATGGCAAGTCATGTAACTGGTATCAGGGATAGGAACAGGATAGACGAGGAGGAGACTAGAGCTAGTTGGCTGACAGTAGGCCTGTTTTATCATCGACGTGTTCCATGAAGCAGAGGCTTGACCATGAGAATTACTCGGGGTCTTTAGCCTCAATTAAGTCTAGCAGACACAGAGTGTGGGAAATAGCGCCTCATGGAGTACAGATGGAATGGCAGGGGTCGAGTGAAATACTTGAACCAAGGAGATGGCAGACGGATCTTATGGGGCAAGAGGGAGACTCTGATAAGACCTATGGAAGGAGGACGGCGTGACAATATGGCAGACTCTGATCAACATTCCCAGCACAAGGGTTAAGGAAGGTGAGAACGCCAGCATGGAGTGTGGAGAGTTCTCATGAAAGCCGCTCAAAAGGACATACCACACTATATCTAAACATGAAAAAAAAAATTGTGATAATTAAGGCGTGATATGAGGGTATTAGAGAGTTGACTAGCTCAGGACAAAAGGAGAGATACCACAACTGCTTAGCACACATTTGGTCAAAGGATCGGCTTCATTTGTCTCTTTGACGAGTTTTAATATGGTGCTAAGTATGGCAGGATTTACTGACGATGCCGACTAAACGCCTGGGAATGTACAACGTCTACGGTCCGACTTTGGAAATTATCATGCATACAATTGACACTGGACTAGGTACGTTCCTCTAAGTCTTCCAACAAATATGACCGAGTAGCGAAAACAGGGGCAAACAACTTCTATACAACGAAAGGAGACTGCGACCACACAAAAGGCGACGCCATCTTGGTCTTCATATCTTCGATTATATATTTATTATTTTTATGTTTTACTCTTAGGATGTACACGAGAGCTAACATTTGAATAGATGCCCTATTCATTTATCTTATTCCTCCACTAATTCCTGTTCACCCTCTGCGTTGTTCTCCTCCAGCTCTTCGCCTTGCTCAACTTTTCCTTCTTCCGACTGTTGCTCTACAGTGTTCTCTCTGGATTCAGCTACCAGCATACTATCCTCCTCAGTCTGCTCTGTGATGCGTGTCATTCCAGTTTCAAACTGGGGTTGCAGTAAATCAGGCTCTTCGGCGTTCGGTTCGGCATCAACCTCTGTATTAAGAGAAACAATATAGAAAAACTGTTATTCGCAATATTGCCAGTAAATAACATAAATGGAATAACGAAACGGAAGAAAAAATTATTATAACGATGGAATGAGGGGAAATGATATAGTAAATAATAAAAGAAGAGGAGAAACGAGGAGATAAATGAAAACTTTCGTAAGAAAATGAGAAGCATGATATACTTTGTTCCTGTGTTTTTAAATTTGCCAATCAATAATTAACAAACAATTAATTTTTATGAATGGTACGATAGATTGGATGGAAAATACTAAGTTATAGCATCAACTGAGATCTCTTATTTAGGACTCAGACGCATAAAATAAATACGAATAAGTATTTTTGAACTGCAAAATGTAAAAACTGACCATATGAATAATTTAAATGTTTACCATATATTTACCTAGCACTGGTTTGCAAAAAAGGCACAAGACAAATTCCTTTATCTATTCTTATAAGCAGTTATATTGTTGAATATCCAGTTTATACAAATCGCTTCTTGCAATAATGCTTGTTTAAATCAGCTCACAGGAGCATAGGTCATTTTATCTACGCCACTATAGTGTATTAATATTTTAAGAATAATGGATGTATTTTATTGAATTCTGAAATAAAACCTAAAGCTTTACACGAATTAAACTTTTATTAATAAATATTTATCTATGGGAGAAAAGATGCTAAGCGGATGCGCACACTCATAAGTAAAATCGGTAGGGGTAATAAAATTGTGAATAGTAATATTCACCTTAAAAATAACATTTATTATAAGTAAAACATTGAAGGAATGACGGAAACATAGTAGACAGTATTCCTTGTTTCCAATATCGGGGCAGTTAGTAATGCAATAACAAGAGTAGAAAGAACAAGGAAGAAAAATTCGCTACGTTTCTTTTTCGGTCAAAATAATTAAAATGACCAGTA